GTTTCCCTTTTCCCCTTGGGTTGTTCGCCACCCTGAGTCCCGCAGGGAATAGGGTGGCATATAAATAAAACAAACCTGAACCTGATGACATCCCCTAGTTGGGTCATGAAACGTTTGCAAGAAAACAAGTTCAGAGAGAAGACCCTAATGTTCAATTCAAATATTCTCTTCTGCCAATGTTTCCTTTGTCTATGCAAGAAATCCCTTCGAATGCAGAAAAATCTACTTTGATTTCTACTCCATTTTCAGTCTTGTGCCACGTGTCACGAGAGCCCACGGCAATGTATCTCGACTTCGGTGCCTTTAAGGTAGGAAGGCTTCGACTCCCAGAATTCCCCAGCCAGGCAGCCAGCCAGCACAGGGAATTCTGGGAGTTCTCTGTTCTCCCTGTGAAGGAGAGGCTTATGGGAAAATTGCACGTCATAAAACCTCACTCGCTTATGATCCCAAGCATTTTCGGAAAGATTTTGCAGCCAATGGAGACATTCTGGATTCGCAAGCAGCTTCCTTCTGGGTGTATGGGAACCACACCGACTGGGGATGATGGTTCTTGCAGTCCAATGCCCTCTGATAAGCATCCATGCCAGTGAATGTTATTAAAGATGTTTATAAGTGCCTTACAGTCTCACCTGGCCCCTTTCGAAATGGTATCGCTTTGGGTACCCATCCCCGGAGGATGCAAATCCCTGAATTCTCCCGTTGCCCAGGCAACCGCTGCCTCCTCTCTAGGGCCTGGAGTCAAAACAGTTCCAGTGTTTTTTATCTTTGAGCTTCATCCTGGACAATGCTTGTTCCTCTGGGGAGGAAAATGCCATTTTGCCTCTCCCCGGATTCAGAGGGCTCTTCACTTCCCCTCCCACCTGAGTTGTGAAAAGTTCCCTTATTCAGGGGAGTTTAAATCTTTTCCAGAGTTGCTTTTGCATTTTGAAAGAAAATATTTAAAATTGGCGTGTGAAAGAGTTTGAAACAGCTTCCTTTCATATTATATTCAGTTCCTAAACTTCTTTCCACATTCCCTTTCCCTTCCAGGTGTGTCTCTACTTCCTTCCTTTCTTTACTCTTTTACTTTATTTTCTTTTATCCTTCCTTTCTTCCTTCTTCCCTCCCTTCCTTTCCTTTCCTTTCCATTTCATTCCATTCCCTTCCTTCCCTTCCTCTTCCTTCCTTCCTTCCTTCCTTTTTCTTTCTTTCTTTCTTTCTTTCTCTTTTTGTTTCTTTCTTTCCTTTTCATTCCATTCTATTCCTTCCCTTCCTCTTCCTTCCTTCCTTCCTTTTTCTTTCTTTCTTTCTTTCTTTCTTTCTTTCTTTCTTTCTTTCTTTCTTTCTTTCTTTCTTTCTTTCCTTTTCATTCCATTCTATTCCTTCCCTTCCTCTTCCTTCCTTCCTTCCTTTTTCTTTCTTTCTTTCTTTCTTTCTTTCTTTCTTTCTTTCTTTCTTTCTTTCTCTTTTTGTTTCTTTCTTTCCTTTTCATTCCATTCTATTCCTTCCCTTCCTCTTCCTTCCTTCCTTCCTTTTTCTTTCTTTCTTTCTTTCTTTCTTTCTNGGTTTAAATGGTATTGAAGTATTTACCGTATTTTTCGGAGTATAACACGCACCAAGGTTTTGAAGAGGCAAATTTTTAAAAAGTAGGTAGATAGATATAGGGATAGAGAGGGAGAGAAAGAGAGAAAAGTACAGTAGGTAGGTAGGGGGAGAGAGAGTAGTTAGGTAGGGAGGGGGACAGAATAGGTCAGTAGAGGGATAGAGACAGAGAAATAGAAAGAGAGAGAGAAATACAGTAGATAGGTAGGGAGAGAGAGAGTAGGTAGGTTGGTAGGTAGATAAAGAGATAGAGAGAAATAGAGAAATACAGTAGGGAGGTAGGGAGAGAGAGTGGGTAGGTAGGGAGGGAGGGAGGGAGGTAGGTAGGTAGGTAGGTAGAGGTATATATAGAGAAAAAATACAGTAGATAGGTATGGAGAGAGCGAGCAGTTAGCTAGGTAGATAAAGGGATAGAGAGAGAGAAATACAGTAGGGAGGGTGGGAGAGAGAGTGGGTAGGTAGGTAGGTAGGTAGGTAGGTAGGTAGGTAGGTAGGTAGGTAGAGGTATATAGAGAAAAAATACAGTATATAGGTAGGGAAAGAGAGATGAGGTAGGTAGGTAGGTAGATAGATATATAGAGAGAGTGAAATAGATAGAGAAATACAGTAGTTAGGTAGGGAGAGAGAGTGTGTGTGTAGGGAGGGAGAGAGAGGGATAGAGAAAGAAATAGAACTACAGAGAAATACAGTAAATAGGTGGGTGTTTCTGCTGGCACAGCACTTGATCAATGTAATTCTCATCAATCAGTTAAAGAGTTTTCCAAAAGGGAAAAAAAAGGTTTTTGCACTCTGCAAACCTCCCCAAAACAGCCTGTTTTTCACGAAAATGGGCCCATTTCCCCCCCCCAAAAAAAGGCATGAATAGCTTTGCGGGGGGGGGGCTTGCAGAGTGTTCCTAGGGGGGGGCAGCCCCCCCCCCCAAATGAGCAAAAAACAGGCCCGTGTTTTTTGTCAAAACATTTGCACGCATAGCCTTATGGAGGCTTATAGAGTGCTGCTAGGGGCTGGGGGGAGCAAAAAACAACCCATTTTTTGCTCATTTCTGCCCTCCCCAGCCCCCAGGAGCTCCCTGAAAGCGTAAGGGTATGCACAGCCATTTTGGTGAAGGGGCGGGGGCTTCAGGAGGCCAAAAATGTTGTATTCGTTGTATAAGACGCACCCAGATTTTCAGCCTCTTTTTTGATGGAAGAAGTTGTGTCTTATACTCTGAAAAATACCGTAAATTATTAAAGAGGCAGAATAGCTTTTTTGCCTTGTAGAAATGTATGAAATTAAGGCAGATTCTGCCTGTGTAAGTTCTCCCTAGATACTATATGGGGTTATAATAGTTTGGTGGAATCCAATCTTTAAAAAAATTCATATTTGGAGTTTCGATTGTAGGGATGTTTATAACAAGAGTAATTGCCTGTGTCCCTTTGTTCTGGCCAATCTTCCTCTGACTGCTCTCTTCATTCTATGCTAAGGGTTTTCCCCCTTGTTAGATTGAAAATCCATGGGTAGAACTAGATTTTACAATAACTTGTTTTGAAATCATTANCTGAAGGCAACTTCTGTTCCATGGGTTGATTGTTCTCATTGTCAGAAAAATTATCCTTATTTCTAGGTTGAATCTCTCCTTGGTTAGTTTCCAACCATTGCTCCTTCTCCTGCCCTCAGGTGTTTTGGAGAATAGCTTGACTCCCTCTTCTTTGGGGCAACCTCTGAGATATTGGGACACTGCTATCATGTCATCCCGAATCCTTCTTTTCATTATACTAGCCATGCCCAGTTCCTGCAACCGTTCATCGTTATGTTTTAGCCTCCAGTCCCCTAATCATCCTGGTTGCTCTTCTCTGCACTCTTTCTAGAGTCTCCACATCCTTTTTATAGTGGGGTGACCAAAACTGGATGCAGGACTCTAGGTGTGGTCTTACTAAGGCTTTATAGAGTGGTCTTAGTACCTCCCTTGATCTTGATTGATTGATCTTCTCCCACTACTCTTTCAACATTCATGACCGGTACATGTGAACGCTCAACACTGGAGGTTTTTAAGAAGAGATTGGACAACCATTTGTCTGAAATGGCATAGGGTTTCCTGCTTAAGCAGGGGGTAGGGGTTGGACTAGAAGACCTCCAAGCTCCCTTCCAACTCTGTCATTCTGTTATCTGAATGTAGGATGGAATCCCACCAAATAAATGCTCCAGAAATCTGCAAGTTCTGCCTGAAATAGGAAGATACTGTATCTGTAAGGTGCATTATGAAAATTGAATTATGCTGTGTGTGGATCTTCCATATACAGATTTTGATTTTCTTCACGTTTAACCCAGGAAATAAGAAATCACCCCCCCAAATCTGAGATTTGTAAGGCGTTCAATAGTTCTACTGGAGGGAAAGGAAGTTAAAGCCAACATCCTGTAGCAAGGACGGATCTGGGATAGCGCGCTGCCAAATTGGATGGCCTCCAAAGATGTCCGAACTACAATTCCCAGAATTCTCCGTCAAAAGCCGCCTCAGAGAAGTCATTGTCGCCAATGGGTTCCTTTGTACTATAAACCCCATTGGCCTTACTTTGCCCCTACCTCTGGTAATGAGAGCCAACGAGGCTCGTGCCGTTGACGGCAAGGATGCGGTCCCCAATCGAGAGTCTGCCATCGGTTGCCGCTGGACTGTCTTGGATCAAAGTCCGAATGTAGATCCCGGGAGAACTTAAAGGGGTATGCTACAAGGCAGAGGAGAGAAGAGCAAGAAGAAGATGGGTGAATCCTGGTATAGTAGGTGAACCGCAAGCAGAGTAGCGAAGAGAGAGAGAGAGAAACCTCAGGAGTTCATCGTTGAAAAGTTCCAGATCCATCTGTCAACTTGTAAAGTGTTTCCATGCCTATTATCAAGTTGATGTTGAGGGGAGGGAGAATTCCATGCATACCTTCGGATATCAGATTTCTACAGCAGGCGTGTGAGGCGAGAAAGTTCACAGCCTGCTGCAGCACCTCGGTGGTGGATGTGATTTATGACACAGACTGAGGGGAGGGGAGAAAACAGGGATGAAGTTCAGACGCCATTAAACGGAAATCAGTTTCGGCTCCACAACAGAAAATGCCAAAATGTTGCTCCTAATAAATGACTGGATTTCTTTTGAACTTTTGTCTCGAGGCTCATGATTTAATCAGGGCATCTTTTGGAAACTTCACACCATCCTTGTTTCCTAAAGCAGATGTTTTGGAGTCCTTCCTCAATCCNCCTGAGCCGGTGAGATTTGAACCGCTGAACTGCAGATAACAGTCAGCTGAAGTGGCCTGCAGTACTGCACCCTAACCACTGCGCCACCTCGGCAAATCTATGGAACCTGTGCCCAAAGTGGCACACGAAGCCATGTCGCCTGGCACCCACAGCCTTGCCTATTTGTCTTCTGGGTTTCTGGCACACATGCGCGCACGATGATCAGCTGTCTTTTGCGCACACAGCAGTGCCGAAAAACACGCTATCCAGCTGATTGTCGGGTGTGCGTGCATTCCAGAACCTGGAAGTTTGGCTTTTCTGGAGTGTGATTCCCTTCGTTTGCATGGCGGTGCCAAAAACCAGCCCGAGCATGCGTGCCAGTTAGCTGATTGTCAGGTGCGCATGTGTGCTAGAATCAGGAAGTTTGGCTTTTCCAGAGCGCGACCCCAACGAGCACACAAACACATGCGTGCATGATGTTTCCATGCAAGTGCCGAAAAGGTTCGCCACCTCTGGGCTAAGCTAAGAAAGTTCATCAGGAAAGGGGATTCATCAGACTCCCTGATCCCAACCCAGAGTTCCCGGCATGTTGCTTTTGAGAGCTGCAACCTGTTATTGCTTTCGGTTTGTCGCGCGGACCATCTAAAGACAGGAATCCCGTATGCAAATAAATAAAATATTTGCAAGAGAGAGCGGCCCATTCTATTTTTGTTTAGATAGCCCATTTTCCCTTGCGTGCATAGCAACCTTCCCTTCCGACTTAACTGGAGGAAGGGTGTTTTTTTTTTAATATAAAGCATCCATCTTTGGTTCCTGGCATGCAAGTATCATTTCCCAAAACCTCGTTAAAAATGCCCTAATTTTGACTTTCCACACCCCAGAGCAGGCAGCTGGTTCCACACCATCCTGAGCTGAATAGAAAGAACCGTTAGGGCCAAAAGCAGAGTTGAAAGCTTCAGGGCCCACCGAGTCAGAGCAGGATGGAAGTATCAATACTCTACCCTTCGAGTCCATTCACTTGACCCATCGTCATTGCAGCAAAAGCCAGTTGGCCCAGGGGGCAAGCCAAGATACCTGCAACCGGTAAAGTCCTTAAGGAGGAGAAGGTCCCAAATAACCAGCTTGGGAGCCTTGCAAGTTTTGTATTGGAAGGGATTGTGTGGCCCAGATGGAATTCCTTACTGTAAAGCAAAGCAGAGATGGACATAATTTGCCCCAAATCCCAGTACTTTTGAGTTGCTAGAAGGTCAATTTGACATGTCCTCTTGGAAAATGCTTTGTGGTCAATCTTGGGGCACTTGGTGGAAAACCTCTGGGTCTCAAAAGAGTAGCATGGCACTGTGTCTCCCCCTCCCCAAACAGACACACAAATTGACCCATTGCAACTCCAGGCAGCCTTTGGAACTTCCCAGGGGTGTCATCTGCTGATGGATCCAACCAAGCTTACTCTGCTATCCTTGGAGCACCTTCAGCGGTAGGTGAATTGCAGAAGGTAATTGGACCAGCTTTTATGGGGAAGGTGAAGAACTATAGCTGATCTTCTTGGCAACTTCCAGATCAGACTTGGCCACCAGGAAACGCAGCTTCTTCCCGCCAGATCGAATGAGGTCTACAGCGCTGAAAGAAAGAAAGAAAGGAAAAACAGCTAAAAGGGTTATAAACCATGAACTACTTAATTAATTTACAGGATAACAAGAGTTGGAAAGGACCTTGTAGGTCATCTAGTCCAACCCCCCGCCCAATTAGGAGACCCTACACCACTTCTGACAAATGGCAGTCCAGTCTCTTCTTGAAAGCCTCCAGGGATGAAGCTCCCACAACT